TGTCTGCGTTCAGCTTCTGCCTATCCGCAGAAGCTGCAATTGCATCTTGTACAAAGCGAACGACTGCTTGTCGTTCGTGGACAAAGTCCATTGCTTGAGAGCTGAACCCCAGGCCCGGCTCATTGGTCTTGGCCGCGTCTGTTCCCTGCACAGACTCGCCACTTGTAGTCGCATCAGTCCCAGACTGTGCGTGGCTCTTTGTGGTGTCAGTGCCCGGCACTGACACTTCGTGTGTGATCGCAACAGGCCCAGCCTGTGCGTGAAGCTTCTCCATATCGATGCCCGGCATCCATACATTACTTGTGTGTGCAACAGGCCCGGCCTGTGCGTGAGTCCTCTCGGTGTCTGTGCCCCGCACAGACACGTTGTCCTTGGTCGGAGCAGCTTTACAGTGTCAGTGCCCGGCACTGACACGTCGCCTTGTCGTGTGCGGGCTCTCGCTCTCGCACGTGTCATCGCAGCTGATAGATCCGTTTCAGCTGTCTTCTGCGGTTGTTCGGACGCAGCCATAGATCCTCCCCCACTTAAGGAGGAAGCCACCGCCCCGAACGTGCTCGGAAGGCGTGGATGCCGCATGGCGTTCACGAAGAACGGTTTATGCCCAGTCGAGGCATGCACCGCGTTGTTGATGGCGAACTCGGCCATCGGCAAGTAGTCGCTCCAGTTGTGGAACGACTGGGCGTAGCTTTTCAGCAAGTCCACGAGCACGCGATTCACGCGCTCGGTTTGCCCGTCCGTCTGCGGATGATCGGCAGTCGACATTGAGAACTGCGTTCCAAGAAGTGTGAACACTTCTTGCCAGAAACGCGCCGTGAAGCGCGGATAGCGGTCCGACACAAAGTCGTTGGGCATGCCATGGTGCTTGAACACCATGTCGACGAACAGACGTGCCGTCTGTACGGAGGTCACCTCCGCTGCGACAGCAGCGAGATGCACCATCTTCCTGAAGCGGTCCACAAAGAACACAATACCAGTCTTCCGCCTGGAATCGCGCGGAAGATCAAACACGA